CACGATATAAATCTAGGAAACATATCTACACAATACTTTAACATTCATCACATCATATATCCACAAAAAAAGACAAGTATGCTAATGTACCAAACTTACGGTAGTTCACTTTATATTATCACGTTGCACTTTATGAAACAACATGTTGCACTGTATAAAGCACCACGTTGCACTTTATCACCACACTCCACAATTAACATAAATAAATTAACGTTAATTGCTCCCGCCAGCATACCACACAACATAAATCTAGGAAACAGATCTACACAATACTTTAACATTCATTACATCATATATCCACAAAAAAACACAAGTATGTTAACGTAGCAAACTTACAGTAGTTCAATTTATATATTATCACGTTGCACTTTATGAAACAACATGTTGTACTTTATAAAACATAATGTTGCTCTTTATTACGACTGCCAGATCGCACAGTATAGATCGACACTGACCAAACTCAAAATATTTCAACCGAAAAAATTAATAAATAAAATTTTAATATAACTACAAATGAGATGTCAGCTTTTAATTTTTAATATAACCACAATTATTGTTATTATTATTATTATTATTATTATTATTATTATTATTATTATTATCATTATTATTATTATTATTTTTATTATAATATTATTATTGCACAATATTGTTATATGAATTGCACATTAATGACTGTCACATTACACCATATCGACCGAAATGGATAAAACTAAATTTTTCAGTTCGAAATTTATCTTCTAGTTCGATTATAAATTTTTTACTTTTAAAATCTCGGTTATAATGTGAATTTATTGCACAATAATTCTTACTTTCTTTATCATTATTGTTCATTAGTATGTTTATTATTATTTTTTTTGGAAATGATAGAGGCTTTATATTACTCAAAAACAAATAAGAGGTACAATATACAACTGAAAACCGAAACTAAAACTGAGAGGACACGCTCTACGGCGGCCTAGAAACTCAAACTAACCAAACACAAACTAACCAGCCAGGAAACAAAGCAACTAAAAAAACTACCAACAAGTTCTCCACTGCAAAGGCCTAGAGAACAAGAAAATCAAACAACCAAACCACTACCCAATAAACAAACAAAAATAACACAACAAACCAAAATAAAGGCATCAAGAACCATGAATCATAGAAAACTCCAGCCACTGCTTGTGAGCAGTCTTGACCAGTTGATGAGCTGAGATGTTGGTATTTTGAAACAGCCAAAGATTGCGCGCCTTCCAAAGCCACCATAACATATAGGTGGTCAACTGGATCCTGGATTCAACCACTTCAGATTCAGCCAAGGAGCATAAATGGGACCACCACCCTCTGAAGGAGGTGGTGTAGGGCAGCAGACCATCCCAATTCACCGGGGCTATATCCCAAACCTTGCCAGCTTTTGAACAGGCATACAGAACATGCTCAATAGTTTCTATCTCATTTCCACAAGTTTGACATATAGCACCAGTAATACACTTCCAGATAAAATGTTTTATCTTACCCACAACTTTTAGTTTTCAGCATCTGTCAAAGAAGTGATTTTGGTTGCTAGAGAGGGAGCTACAACCAGGAATATCAAGAGCTAGAAGCTTTTGCTTACTCAGAAAAGCATAGGTACTTGCAACAGTGAATTTGCCTTTTTTGTTCAAAGACCAGAACATTCTATCAGCCATACCTGGTTTTAGAGTGTTAATATTCAGAATAGCTTGGCAGTCAGTTTCATTAAACAACTGAGATACTAACCAGTCATTCCATCCAATCCCAGCAGAGTTAAGAAGTTCACTAACCCAAACAATTTGTCCTCTAGCAAGATCAAGCAGAAAAGGCTTAGGAGTTCTGAGGGAAGGCACCTAGTTTATATCATCACTCCTGGTAGATATCCCATTTCAGATTTCCACAGAGAAACCTTTGGCAAATACACGAACAGCAGAGAGCCAGTTAGACCAAAGCCAGGAGCTATTACTAGACTTGACAGCATCAAAAATTAAGCAGCATGGAAAATATCTATCTTTCAAAATTCTGCTAAAGGTATGTTTATTATAAATTGAGCAGTATGTTTATTATAAATTAGTAAATTAGTAAATTACATATTTGACCCAAGGATTAAATTGAAATTTAATAAAATCCTTAAAATTGCAATAACATACCTTTAATTTATCACATTCTCATATGTATGCCACCAAGAAATTCAATTCTGTAAAAATGGAAATTCATCCCTATCCCCATTGAAACTTAATAAAATCCTTAAAATTGCAATAACATACCTTTAATTTATCAAATTCTCATATGTATGCCCCCAAAAAATTCAATTCTGTAAAAATAGAAATTCATCCCTATCCCCATCGTTTTTTTGGCCGAATATGTAAAATCAATTGCCCCGACTATGAATATGATGGCGGATTCAATTAGGAGATCGAGAATAGAGAAATATCTTCACCATCTCCGACTTCGAACACCACCGTCCCGCAATTTCAACACCTCCGACATACCATTACCCCTGAATCCGGTCTCGTGTCGGGGTCTAGATACAGTGCCGTCATAGTGGGGATAAGAAGTGGCAGTAAAATGGAGATCGGACGCCGATGTCCCTTACTAGTAAATATGTCGGATTTTCTAGAAGGCGATTGAGGTGGCCTGTAGCCAGGAGGATTCCGGAGGCGAACTCTGGCTGCGACAGGACTGGAAGTGACTGTCTGTGCCGGCGGTTGGCAGCGTGAAGGTGGGTTGAAGGCGGCGGATGGTGACTGTGTGAGAGTTCCCCGTGAGTGCGTGAACCACCGTGAAAGAGTGTGTGTGTGTTCGTGTGTGTGAGAGAGAGAGAGAGAGGCGGGAAGAGAGAGAGAGAGAGTGAGGAGAGATAAGACGTGTGGTGATTTAGTGAGTGGGTCCCACATGATATAGGTGTATTGACCAACTTACCCTTAATTATTAGTCAAATGACATATTTGACCATAATATGATCAATTAATTACCAGGTTGCCATTAATGATTGACCATAGTTTGACTTCATCATGTCCATACATACCATTGATCCAATAGTACAGATTCATTCTTATTTCTTTCACCAATGTTTATTCTCATATGATCCCTTACATATATATATATATACTCAAATATATATATATATAATATGTATATATATATAATATATAATATATATATATAATATATATATATAATATATAATATATATATATAATATATATATATATATATTCTCAAATATTAGAGTTAATTTTCGAAAATCAGTTTAAAGATTTATTTAACGGACGCTACTCAAAAATTCACAAAACAACCATTAAGTCCACACTTAAACAAACGGGGAATCAGCCATCCCGAACAACTATCTCATGCCATAATAAAATTCCAACATAAGAATATCCAAATTCCCTGTAAGTTCTGAAAATTGGCAGTAAATCGATGAACCTTCTGGTGTTCACAGGATTCAAAAATACCCGAGAATATTTGAGGGAAGTTGTTTTAGTTTGATTGGAAGCTTTATTTATTTATTATTAATTAATAATAATAATCTTTTATTATGGTAGATACATGAGAATTAGCTCAGATTAGTTACCATAATTACGAGGAAGAGATCGCGTCCTTAAGGAATGAAGGACTTACCTTATGAGAATCTTTACTTGGACGGAAAGCAAAAGAAGAAGACTTACCAAATGAAGCTTGAGGATAAAAGGAGGACGGGACGCATGTAGAGGACGACATTTGCACCTCTGATTTTATTTGTTCTAAGTGTTTGTGTTCTTTGAGAGAAGTGAGATTTTCTATATACATTATTTCGTGTGAGTCTGTAACAGAGCGTTCGGAGGTTCATTCTGAGATAGTTTGAGGGATTCGAACTAGAAAACCCACAAGGGATTTGTGGTCAGATAAGTAGTTGTGTGAATCACTGTTCAAGTAGAGTGTAGATAGAGTCTATATTGTATACCCTTGAAGAGTGTTAGTGATATTCACATTAATGAAAGAGATCTGAAGGGAGAGTAGGACGCTCTCCTGAAGGTTCAATTCCCAGTGAAATTGCTTCCGCGTTTGTCTGAATCTTCGCTTAGTTCTGTTTTAATTAATTTACACGCAACTTTGGATACTTGGTGTACGAGTATAAAACTTCAATTGGCACCAGAGCGGATTTTCGTTTGAATTACGAAAGATCTAAGGACTTGTGTTACTGGGCAATCATGAATCAAGAAAGTCGATCGATGTCTAGGCCTCCGCAATTGGATGGTTCCAACTACTCGTATTGGAAGTCTATGATGACGATCTTTCTAAGATCGCTAGCAAAAGGTGCTTGGGAAAGTGTTGAAAAAGGATGGGAGCACCCTGTCATGATAGCAGCACCTAATCAAGGAAAAGGAACTACGACGGCAATAGTTCTCAAACCAAAAGATAACTGGACATATTATGAGAAGCTTGAAGAAGAAGCCAACTACCGTGCCTTATACGCAATCATGATGGCAGTGGATCATACATGACACAAGATAATCGTTCAATGTAAGACTGCAAAAGATGCTTGGCGGATTCTACAGCGTCAATTTGAAGGTTCAACTGTTGTCAAGGCGTCTAGACTTCAACGGGTAACTCTTAAATTTGATGAAACCAGGATGAGGGATGAAGAAACAATTGATATTTACTACGCCAGATTCAGTGATCTGGTGAATCAAAGTGCAATGCTTGGAGAAGAAGTCTCTGAGAATCGTCAAGTTCAAAAGATCATGAGATCAGTTGCTCTTAGGTTCCGAGAAAAAATTACAGCCCTTGAGAGTTTCCAAAGAATTGCACCTCTGAATGTTGACGAACTCCTCGGCGAGCTCAGGACGTTTGAAATCAACAACAATTTTGACAAAGTCAAAAGTAAGGGATTGGCTCTCAAAGCTGCTGTAGTTGAAAAAAAAGTAGATAGCAATGACGATGAAGGTCCAATGATAGACGATAGCGAGCTGAAAGAGGCTCTTGCACTTGTTGCGAGAAACTATGGGAAGATGAGTCAAAAGTTGTACAAGAATAAGTTTGCTGGAAAGAAAGACAACAATTCCAGCAAGAATGCATTTCAAGACAAGAAGAATAGCATGTTGTTCTCGAAACCTAACTCGCAGCGAGTTGAAAAAGACCAATGCAAGGAGTGTCGTGGTTTTGGGAACATTCAATATGAGTGTGCTAATCTTAAGAAGAAGAACAAGTCTCTAAAGGCAATATGTGAAGATTCAGATGATGAGGGCACAGACGAACCTCCTTCGCACACGAGTAATATGGCGATCCACACATCTTTAAAGAAGTTCATGTGTCTCACCACATCGCATGTTATAACCAAGGTTGAAGAATGTTTGAGAGAGGCTGAAGTATCTGAAGACGAAGCGGACTGCAACTTGTGTGTTGATCTAGTACACTTGCTTGCCATGGAGAAATGTGCACAGACATCTGAAGCTATGTCGAAGCTTTAGAGTGAAGTGTTTAGACTGATAAGAGCAAATAAGATGCTGAGCGAACAAGCCTCCTTATTGACTGTTTCAAAAGAGTGTGAATTAGATACTGCAAAGGCTCGAACGTCCATTCTTGAAAGCAGTGTCAAACTTGCTAAACAAGATGGATTGGGAAAGGCACAGACCATTGAATTCTTGTGGACTTAATTATTCTCTACTCAGAAACTTCTAACTGAGCGAAACAAGGAGATCTTGAAGCTGAAAACTGAGGTTGATCGACTCATGAATGATCATATCAACATGAAAAGCAAACTAAGAGGAAACACTGCCGAAATGAATCGCACTGCCGAAGCGGTTCAAAAACCGAACAAAGGGAAAGTTGATCTAAATGAACTCCTTTCCTTGGGTAGGCAACATGGTGATCTTTCCGGAATTGGGTACAGTGACAAAGTGGATAAACCTGAATCCTCTTCTGAAGCTACCAAAAACAAACATCCAGGCCTTGGTTTCGCAGACAAGTTTGGAGTTGGGGGTACAAGTCATTACGAAAAACCATCTCGGAACTAGTTTGGCAGGTTTGTAAAAAGCATGTGAGTAAATCTTCCTTTCCTAAATCTCCTGTGAACGTTCATTTACATGCTTAGGAACTTGATAGTAAATCTCATCATAAGTTTGTTCCTATATGTCATTACTGTGCTGTAACTGGTCACATAAGACCCAAATGTTATAAAATGCAGCATGATCTGTTTTCAAGTAGATTTTTTAACTGGAATTGTTCAGGTGTTACATTGAACTTGCGTACTGTGAATTCCCCAAAAGTTCTTTCTAAAAATCGTCAAGTATGGGTTGCAAAGAAAACCTTTAACGGTCTTGCTTCAGTACTTTCTTTCAGAACTTCACTTAAAGGGAAATGGTATCTTGATAGTGGGTGTTCTAGACATATGACTGGAAAACCAGCATACTTGTTGAATATTCTAATCGGTTCAAATGGAGAGGTCAATTTTGGTGATGGTGTGAGTAATAGAGTTATTGGAACATGTTGCTTGAATTTGGGTGGTTTACCTAGATTAACTGATGTTCTTCTTGCAGATGAACTGAAGGCAAATCTCTTAAGTGTTAGTCAACTTTGTGATCAAGGTCTTAGTCAGTTTTTCGTGTGATAAGTGTTATGTGAAAAACAGTGAAGGTACATGTGTTCTTACTGGCTCTCGTTCTACTGACAATTGATATCTTATTGACTTCAATGAAAAATGTCTTATAGCAAATGTTAGTGAATCTGAGATCTGGCATCAACGCATAGGTCATATTGGATACTCTCACTTGGTCAAGTTGTCTAATGCAGGTGTGGTCAGGGGTGTCACAAAAATTTATATGAAGGAACAACCAGTCTGCGAACCATGTCAACTAGGTAAGCAAACTCGTGCACCTCATAAGGCACTGAACCACATTGCTTCTAAACAAATCCTAGACCTTCTTCACATGGATCTGATGGGTCCCATTAAGGTTGAGAGCTACCAAGGTAAAAACATTTTTGTGTGCATAAATGATTTCTCTCGATATACATGGATTGATTTCTTGCGAGAAAAGTCTGACACAGTCTCTGCTTTTAAGTCACTTTGTATGAAGCTTCAAAATAAAAAACGTTTTTCCATAATAAGCATTCGAAGTGACCACGGGCGAGAATTTGAAATTTTTGAGTTTGCTAACTTTTGTGACTCACTGGTATTCTTCTTAGTTTTCTGCTCCTAAGACCCCACAACAGAATGGAGTTGTGGAAAGGAAGAATCGCACTCTTCAAGAAATGGCTAGGGTCATGTTAAACTCCAAGAAAATTTCTCATAGGTGGTGGGCAGAGGCAATCAATACAACTGCTATCTCGTGAATCGAGTGTACCTTCGTCGAGGTATTGGTCTGACATCATATGAACTCTGGAAAGGTAAGAGTCCTAACCTTAGTCATTTGTATATTTTTTGTTGTAAATGTTTCATTTATAATGATCGTGAATAACTTGGGAAATTCGATGCAAAATCAGATGTAGGGTTCTTTCTTGATTACTCTAAACAATAGTCGAGCATACTGTGTTTACAACACAAGTACTTTCATTGTAATAGAGTCCATGAATGTGACCTTTGATGAGAAAAACTCCCATGTTGGTTCATCAGTGTCCTTTAATCCTTGTGAAAGTGTTGAGAATATGCAGGATACTCAAGATGTTAACAGTTCTGTAGACAGTTAGACTCCTGAACGTTCAGTTGGGGCTGAAGAGTCGGAAGAAACTCTAACTGAGTATATTGTACCTGCTACACTTGGAAGTCCAACACAACCTAAGCGTGATCCTCCCTTAAGGGTCCAAAAAGACCATCCATCTGAACTGGTCATTGGCGACCTCAACGAGAGAGTGACTAGGAACTCAAGGAATTCCGTTAAAGAACTCATGGGGGTTTCTCACTTTGCTTGCTACACATCTTTTTTTTTTATCGTTAAATGTAAATATATATAGATAAAAACTGAGTTCAAGGCCGGTCAACGGCGTACAAAAGCGTAATGGGTAACCACAAGCCGATTCCTCATTCGCGAGATAAGATATAACAGTTGCTCACTCAAAAGACATTAGTAAAAGGGGTCTCGAGGGACCTCGATCCATGTCGGGGGTCGGCAGAACAAGGCGCGGGTCAAATCCAAGTTGTCTGCTAGTTTGCAGGCTGTCTTCATGGGTTAGCTGCGCTATGGTGCTTGTTAGTGACGCTATGGCTGACGTGGGCGCTACTGTGGCGCACTGGCATAGTGTGGATCTGGCAGGGGAGATAGCGGCGCTATGGTGCGTAGCGGCGCTATGGTGACGCGTCATTAGTAGCGTTGGGGCATAGCTGCGGTACAATTTCAGGCGCTGGTTGTCTGCCCGTCCTTAGTCCCTCGCTAATGGTAAAGCGGCGCTATGGGTGGAAAGATAGCGGTGCTAGTACCTGGGCACATATTTTCTCTTCCTCGCTATTAACTCGCTAGGGTGCTAGCGGCGCTAGCAGCCGTACCTTAAATAAATAAATAATTAATGACATAATGAATTTAAATAAATAAATCCACTATTATGACCATTAAATATTGAATTCCCATAAATAAGGAAACCTTGTATATTCTTTCCCTGTTCTACTGGAACTCCCACTACAGTAGAATCCTGGTTAATATCGTACTGCTTGCCCACAAATTAAAACTTCTCCACTGCCCAGTTAGCCGCCGCCATCGCCGGTGGTCAGAAATCTGGCGGAATATTTTTTTTACTTGCGCGAGTTCACGCGGTCTCCGGGCTCTAGTCCGAATGATTTTTCGAGGCTCGTTGATCTTTTGTAATCTCCCAGCAATTAATCCACGATTACAACACAAAAAATATAATTTACAAAATTACATAATCCGATCCTAGATCCAACAAATGGATGTACATGTTTTTATAAACAAATAATTAAATCTATTCGGTCAACCCCCGTGCGAATAATTATTACAAACATTCATCCATCAAATTCCTCGACATGTCCGAGGCTTTGAAAACAAATTTAAAACCGTACATCACATTCATCAATATTCATCAAACACATATCAACCATAACAGTGGATTTAAACTAATTCCTGCAAAACCGAGTTATGCGAATATAATCCAATATATGGTTGTGTTTTAACACATCTCGACAAATAAAGCCGTAAAAATTCGAACTTGTACACAACGAATTAAACCAAGTGCTCTGATACCACTTGTTGGGATCTATGAGGATCTCGTTATGCACAAATCGCGAATTCAATAGCAAAACGTTAACCTATGCGCAGCGGATCTAAAGGTTTGCGTAGAGAACTTACGACTTAAGATTTATGGAAATTTGGTTGATCTTCTGGATGGCCGTACACAACACACCAACGAAAAGTTGACTGCAAATCACGTCTTAGGGTTGCACGAACAAGATCGGAACGAAAACCGGATCAAACGGGTGCAAAATGGATAAAAATAGAACTTGCAGTCTGGGACACTCTGGCAACGCCTGAGGGCGCGTGCGGAGTTAGACGTTGGCGATCTCGACAGTGTTGGAGAGCACTCGTCGAGACAGTCGTCTGGGTATGCTGCACGCCATGATCGGACCTCCGGTTAGTTCTGTACGATAAAATATATTTCGTCTCCGTTTACCTACAAATCTTCTACTGTGTGTCTCAAACAACTCTTAATCTTGTACCAGTGGAACAACAAGAAGAAGATAAAGCTCGAATGAGAACTAAAAGAGAGATATATGGGGTGGCCTAAATTATGTATGTAATTGTGTTCTCTTCCCATGAGCTTAATCATGTATATATCAGTAGGGACCCTTAGGAGATTTGGAGAGGGCTCCTTAATTAATTAAAATACTTGTGGACCAAGTGTAATATCCCATTCAGTTAAGTATCAGTTATCTTCAAAACCGAGAGATTTTGAGGGTAAATAAGTTTAGAAATTAAAGTTTTTAAGCCACACGGGTCGTGTCACAAGTGACACGGGTCGTGTGGAGTCACACGAGTCGTGTCACAAGTGACACGAGTCGTGTGGCTCAAGATGCTATCAAAATGTTGTTTCGGCTTTGTGACACGAGTCGTGTCACTAAGTGACACGAGTCGTGTGAGGTCACACGAGTCGTGTCACTAGGTGACACGGGTCGTGTTGCCGACAAAATTTCAGATTTTTGAGAGTTTGCATTTAATGCCAACCAATATGATTTTCTAGCTATTAATTATGTTAGCTGATAATGTGAATTGTTAGGTGAGGATTTATTTAAGTTGATTAAATTTTAGAAGTTTAAATTGTTTATTTTGTTAATTTTTATACTTCAAATAGTTTATTCCACAATTTTGCCTATAAATAGAGGGCTTCAAAATCAGAATTTTCACACCAAAAATATTTCCAAATTATAAGAGTGGTAATTATAGTAGAGTGATAATTATAGTGGAGGGAGGAAATTCTTGAAGGAAAGATTTTTGGAGTAAAGAGTTCTTGAAGTGAAGTCTAGAATCTTTTTAAGTTCAAGTCCTTGAAGGAGGTAATTCACTTATGTGAAGATTCATGTTCATATTAAGTTCATGATTTCATGTTAAATAAGTTGTTAGTATGCATGTTTAAGTATTATGATTATTATGTTAAGTTCAAGATGATATAAGGATTAATTAGTATGACTTTGCTAGAATTGAGATTTTGATACTTGTTTCCATGATATAATAGTTTGAAGTTAGTATGCAGATGGATATCATGATATTAAAATGAGAAATGATTAAGTAGTATAAATGTATTTGATTGAGCTATAGCATGTTTCGGATAAGTAATAAATTAATAGTTAAAGTTAAAGAATTTAAGTATGTTATTGAGTATTCGAGCATAAGTACCTAGTATATTTGTTTATATTTTTATGAAGCGTTACAAGTCGGCTACGAGAACAACACTTACAAACAATTTTTCAAGAAGAAAGGTGGGGACCCAGACTGGGTATTACATTGAGTATAATAGCTATTATCATGTTCGAGGTATGTATAAAGTTAAGTAAAGTATTAAGCTCACTCAGTCAAGACTGGGTTCTGTGGGAGGCGACCCCCAGAATGTGATCACGTGAGAACCGGCCCAAGTTACCGGTAGTTGCAAAGTTCAAGTTAAAGGATCGGTCAGATACCGAAAGATTAAGCTTAGATACATACCAAAGATCATGATATTGATATTATTATTGTTGTTTACTTTAGTATAGGTTTTCACGGAGTACAGTTGATTAGTACTCACGCCCCACTATTATCATTTTTCAGGAAATAAAGACGGTGCGCAGGTGTGAGGAGCTGTGGTGGTCGTGTATTTGTTGAAGTTTTTATTGAGAATTTTCAATAAGGTTTCGGTTTGTAAACCATGCTTGTAAGATTTCCGCTACGTTTCCTTAAGATTTGAAAAGGTGTGATTTTAAGTGTGATTTTAAAGGTTGATTTATCAAGTTGACTGTATGAACTGATAAGTTTTTATATTTGTTCAATGTTTAAAAATCTATTTTATTTATGTCTAATTTAGTTGTTAGATGAAGTTTAAGTAAACAGATTTTTAAAGTAGATAAGTTAGTAGCATACCGAGTCAAGAAGGTTTCGAAAAATTTATAAGTATTTTCGAAATAAGTTGCGAAAAATTTACTCTGATAAGCGGGGTGTTACAGTTGGTATCAGAGCCAAAGTCTAAACGCTCTGTATACTAAAAGTTTAAGTTTTGAGAAAGAAAGTTTCAAGAAAAACCGACCTCACCACACTCACACCTCGCCAATTATCAGGTAAGTGTTGTTAAAATTTTCTTTATTATGAATTTTAAATATATGCAAATTACTAAGTCTATGCTCGATAAGATATCCGAATTTTATAAATCATATTATATGCTCAACATATATATAAGTATATATATTTTCTTAGTGTATTAAAAATTTATCTTTTACGAAAAATTTTAGATGGCACCCCACGCTCGAAGAGAGATGACAACCTCAGAAGTCGTTACTCAATTTCGTGGATATAATCCTGAGAAATTCTCAGGACAAGGAGATCCTCGTCTAGTGGAGGAGTGGATTCAGGGTCTCGAAACTATTTTTGAGATCACTGAATGCACAGAAAGGCAGCGTATTATTTGTGCTCAAATGCAAATGACCAGAGATGCTCGGCTCTGGTGGAACTCCTACTGGGGCATGCGTCCTGGGGAGAAAGAAAATCTCACTTGGATGCAATTCAAGGAGATGATGGAAGAGAAATACTATACAGCTCACTATCGGGCTGAGATGGAACGTCAATTTTTGGCATTAAAACAAGGAAATCGTACAGTTGATGAGTATGAGAGAGAGTTTACTAGATTGGGATCTTTTGTCAAATATCTGGTGGACACAGAGGCTAAAAAGTCAAGGCGATTCCAAGACGGGTTACTACCAGCAATCCGTCACCATGTAGCTGGACACTGTATTCAGACTTATGCTGATATAGTGGCCAAGGCTCAAGAAGTAGACGCAAGTTTCCAGAGGGGCGATGGCAAAATTCCGGAGCAGCCAATTGCTCAAATTCCAGCTCAACTACCAGTGCAGCCCACGCTTGTCCAGCAGGCTAAAGATAAAAACAAGAGGAAGTGGAAAGGTCCCCAGAATAATAACAAGCAGAAGCAGCAAGCTAATCGACCACAATTTCCAGCATGTGGCAAATGTGGGCGTAGTCATCCAGGAGAATGTTTGGCAGGGCAGAATATTTGCTTTTTCTGTCGGAAGCCTGGTGATAATCTCAAGGAATGTCCAGATAGGCAGCAGCAGAGGAATCAGGGGCAGCCTCAGCAGCAGAGGGCACCTCAAGCTCAAGTGTATGCTGTGGAGCACGTTCAGGCAGAACAGAACCCAGGTACTATGTCTGGGATGATTATTCTGGACGATATTCCTATTTTTGCATTGTTTGATACGGGAGCGACGCATTCGTTCGTGTTAAAACGATGTATAGAAATCATAGGAGCTAAATTCATTAACACTGTTGACCCTCTTGAGGTAAGCTTAGCCTCAGGACAGAAAAGAGTGACGAGTTCTAAGGCAGATAACCTTAGACTCAATATTGGAGGAAGAATCTTGGAGGTCGGCGCGTACGTCATCGAGATGAGGGATTTTGACCTCATACTCGGTATGGATTGGCTAACACGTTACCGTGCTGATATTCGTTGTCATGACGGAGAGGTAATTCTTTATCTTTCGGAGGAGGATCAAATTTCTTTCTATGGCTCGAAGACACGAACGTTGCCTCGGGTGATTTCTATGGCGAAAGCAAGGAAGATTATAAGACGGGAGGATTGTCAAGGATATTTGGTGAGCATTGTTGACAAAAATTCGAGAGCACAAACACCTCATGATGTTCCAATTGTTCGTGAGTTTGTGGATGTGTTCCAGGACCAATTACCAAGAAGACCACCCAATAGGCAAGTGGAGTTAACAATCGATATTGTTCCTGGAGCAGCGCCTGTGTCGAAGGCACCATATCGTATGGCACCAAAAGAATTGCAAGAGTTAAAAACTCAAAGTCAAGAGTTGTTGAAACTTGGTTTCATTAGACCAAGTGTTTCACCTTGGGGAGCACCTGTATTGTTTGTCAAGAAGAAGGATGGTTCCATGAGGATGTGTATCGATTATCGGGATTTAAACCGGTTAACGATAAAGAATAAATATCCGCTCCCAAGGATAGATGATTTGTTTGATCAGTTGAGAGGAGCTTGCGTATTTTCAAAGATAGATTTACGCTCAGGCTATCATCAATTAAAGATTAAGGAATCTGATATAGCTAAAACTGCGTTTCGGACAAGATACGGTCACTACGAGTTTGTAATGATGCCGTTTGGGGTAAGTAATGCACCAGCGGTATTCATGGATTTGATGAACCGTGTTTTCCACAAGTATTTAGATCAATTTGTCATCGTTTTCATTGATGATATTTTGG